TCGTCTTTCCAATCTTTCCCTCCCACTTCTGTTTTTCGGACACCTTGGAAACAGGCCGTAGTTCTTCCCATTCTCGATCTTGGCGACCTTTCCGATCGCCAGAATTACCGTTCCATTCATCTCAGAACCGTACTTTCGGAATTATTTGAAACCATCATCTCCGTCGAATTGTTCGCGTTCTTTGAGCGCGGGGAACTACTGACCCACAGCAATTTGGTTTCGACAGCGTCATTCCATCAGTGACCTGCTGACTGTTGTCTCACATTTCTAGTCATCTGCATTTGATAACCACGGAGGAACTTACCTGATATCGCTCGATATCTCAAAGGCCTTCGGTCGAGTTTGGGAAGAAGGTTTACTGGGGACACTGCTTGTGTTCTGGTTCCCTCTGGCTGTCATTGCATGGATATCAACTTTCCTGATTAAGCGAACCGTTTCTATCTGAGTTGATGAGGTTCTATCGTAGGCGTTTCCTGTGAATGCTGGCGTTGCCCAAGGATCAGTACTTGCATCCCTCGTCTTTATTCTATTTATGAATGATATCCTGCGTTAGGTCTACGAATAGATTCGTTTTGATGCAGTTCACGCTCCGATTTACTGGGCGTCGGCAAAACCAGCAAACTCGGTCAGCATGTCAACGCTTGTCTGTCTCAGCAGTTCGTGCATGCTATAAGTCAGAGTTAGTGGGTCATCTAAGCGCTCCTCGACGTCGTTGTGTACATTAGCCGTGAGATCAGAGTAAAGGAGCAATGCATTCCGCGGCGGATGTTGCTTTTGGCTCCGAACGTGAAACCCGGTCGAGGCATTGGATAACTCACACATCAGTAGCCCGGATGTAGAAAAAGATGACTAATCCGGATCTGTCAGGATCAAAACCGAGGTAGGCGGTGTCTGCAACATCAGCTCATGAAGATCCTCAAGATGAATCCCACCAACTTTATTGCTTGTAAGTATGCTGATGGCATTGTGGTTGGTTACCCAGCCCCTACTTCAAACAGTTTTCGACCTCTCCAGGACAGTCTTAAGGAACTTCACGATTGGTCTGTGACCCGATCCCGTGAACTTAA